GCGGTCAACTAACTCTGTGTGGGCTGTTGAACATGTAGTCACTAAGCGGTCAACTAACTCTGTGTGGGCTGTTGAACATGTAGTCACTAGGCGGTCAACTAACTTTGTGTGGGCTGTTGAACATGCAGACACTGACCATCCAGTCGTTCCAGTTGTACATGCAGTCACTAGGCGGTCAACTAACTCTGGGGGCTGTTGAACATGTAGTCACTAGGCGGTCAACTAACACTGTGTGGGCTGTTGAACATGTAGTCACTAAGCGGTCAACTAACTGTGTGGGCTGTTGAACATGTAGTCACTAGGCGGTCAACTAACTCTGTGTGGGCTGTTGAACATGCAGTCACTACATGGTCAACTAACTCTGTGTGGGCTGTTGAACATGCAGTCACTCCATGGTCAACTAACTCTCTGTGGGCTGTTGAACATGCAGTCACTACACAGTCAACTAACTCTCTGTGGGCTGTTGAACATGCAGTCACTACACTGTCAACTAACTACAAGTCCACTTTTCACTATGATCATACACTATCATCTCATAGTCACACAGACCTCTGACAGGTGTAAGCTGTTTGCCAGAGTTGGAAACTACCACATCATCCATCATAGATATATGGAACTAAGATACTTTAAAATATAATTCTCAAATGTGGATATTTTCATGAGATCTAACAGACTGAAATGGCTGGGGCATATTGAGAGAATGTCAGATGACAGAGGTAAAAACTATACACAAGGGAGCTGAATGGTTGTAGACCACCAGACAGACCAAGAAGACGATGGAGAGATAATTTCCAGACAGACCTGCAAACACTTGGTGTCACCAAATGGAAAGAGAAGGCCACCCAGAGAGATGAATGGTGGTGGGTGATATCTGCAGCAATGAACCTCAGGGGATCAGAACACTGAAGAAGAAGAAGAAGAAATAATTTGGATAAAAAATGCTCTTGTGGCTGAACAATCATGGTAAGTAAAGAATTCTTTAGTAAAATTGTGCCTTTGTAAATATAACACCTGCTGAATTCTTTTTTGTGCTATCATCCGAATAACGGTCCCAAATTATATAGGCCGAAAATATACCCTAACAAGGACTCAATCACGTGTCGATTGCGGATCTCCGGTAGACTATACCGCCACCGCCGAATTGCGGACTTCCGGGGACTATACCGCCACTGCCGAGAGTATCTCCCACGCCACTATGCGTGGTGTGGATTGCGGCTAAACTAGATGGCTGGGACTCATGAGCAAAATGAAGGAAGCTGCAGGAAATGCGGTAGCTGCTGCTCGTGAGTCCCAGCCATCTAGTTTAGCCCCAATCCACGCTGCATGTAGCGGCGTGGGAGACACCCTCGGCAGTGGTGGTAGTCGCCCGAAGTGCGCAATTTAAGTCACCAGAAGTCGCAAATTACACATGACTGAGGCCCTGTTAGGGTTTATTTTTGGCCTCGATATTTTGGGACCGCTATTCGGAAGATAACTCTTTTTGTTCTACTAACTATAACAGAATTAAACATTGACATATCAGATTCTAAATGGTCATTCATTCCTCTTTAAAACAGTTAACAATTTTGTAGGGATTAAAAGTATATTACATTCTTTATTACATTTTTGTTACACCACCAAACTGCCATGAAAATTAATGTGAGCCAAGTATGTCAAAAAGAGTGAAAGTGTTACAGAGATGATATATCTGCATAACCGGATCATTGAAACCCTGGCCACCCATGTCCAGGAGTCATCTCACAGCTGTCTACAATCAGAGGAGATATATGGCACTAAACACAAAAGAGCTGCACAAATCTAACTATACACACAAGATGATGATACACCGCTGCCAGCAGAAGTCAGCTCTACATTCGATGAAAACATAATACAAACACACCCACAAATAATCAATATCAATACAATTTTGATTAATTCATCAGACGATACTCAAAAACATTTTTTAAAAATGTAATATGAAGTTTTTAAATGTCTGATTTGCTGTGACAATGAAAGATGTTCAGCACTGTACATTTAGTCAACTCATAGAAGATCACGCTGAAACTGAGGTTTAGTGAGAGGAGAAAGAGAGAGAGAGAGAGAGGGAGAGACAGTTCACCCTATGGTCATACTGGTTAGAAATCATTTGATTACTCTTGCGGACTGGTAATCAAGAACACTAACTGCTGTGGCACTACGACTAATGCAATAATGAGTTCATGGGTTCAGACAGGTGGACATTATAGCAATACGTAAGTATATAATATACTAAAATCTTTACGAGCAATATCTGAAACCTAGCAACATGGCTGAATGTATATCAAATGAGCCAGCAAATCAGCATCTATAAAACATTTTGACAATGCCATAGCTATCGTTATACACATCCAATTTTCATCCCCTTTGAGGGTTGCAATTTTTAGTTTTTTGAAGCCCAACCTTGGCTTTTGCCGGAGGCCAGGCAAATATTAACGGCTGAACAGGGTTTTGGGACCTCTCCACAGGTGATCCTCATCTGCATGGTGGTACTTTGTGTCACCGGGTGTTTATCGCTTGTGTGATGTCCTGGTGGGGTACAACTTACCTACCTACCTCATTGCTATCAACAACAACATTTAGAAAACATTTTGACAATGACATGGCTATCAACAGCCAACAACAACACCTAGAAAACATTTTGACAATGACATGGCTATCAACAGCCAACAACAGCAGCATTTAGAAAACATTTTGACAATGACACTGCTACAACAACAACAACAACAGCATTTAGAAAACATTTTGACAATGGCATGGCTATCAACAACCAACAACAACATCTAGAAAACACTTTGACATAACATGGCTACCAACAACAACAACAGACTCTGGAAATGTGACAATGACATGGCTATCAACGGCCAACAACAACAGCAGCTAGAATACCTCACAGACTGAAGCACCTCTTATAACCATTAAGCAAATATCCAATATTCTGAACTGCCTACAACAACAAGTTGACTAACTTCTTGTGGCTGGGTTCCTGAGGCAGTCAGGGTTGATAAAGATCAGTCTCATTTTCTTTTCACAGCACACCGGTGTGCAAGGAAATGAGCAAGCTGATAGACTTGCAGGTGAATCTACTGTGAAAGGCAGACAAGCCACTGACCAGGCTGAATGCAAGAAGCTAGTGACTGAATCTGCAGCCATGACCAGACTGCAAGAACAGCAAGTCAAACAGGAATGCAAGAAGCTAGTGACTGAATCTGCAGCCATGACCAGACTGCAAGAACAGCAAGTCAAACAGGGCTGTGGCCAGACAAAAGCCCTAAGAAGCCAAAGAAGAATAAGAAACCAACACAGAACGGGAGTAATCAGCTGCTACACGCTGCAGGATTGACTGAGGAGGGGATCCGAGCACTTGTGGACTGAATGGTTCAATGTGCAATAAGGATAATCTGTCGACTAACTAACTTCCTATCTTTGTCTCATTCAACTGTTCTAGTCATGCCTATAAAAGGTACAGTTAAAAAAATTATTATTGAGAGTGGCAATAACTTTACATGGATTAGTGCCCAGTCAATGCTTAGCCTGTTTTTGAAACGTCAAGATCTAAACACCAAGTCTTTGAACAGCAAAAACAACACACACAGAGGTGGAGTTTTGATTCTTTGTCCATTTCTAGACTTTGGCTTTGTTCTAAGATCTGAGCTTTGCAAGTTCATTCATTTTACAGATCTAATTTATCGGTATGCAGACTGGTGGTTCCTCACCTCTAAGGCAGATGCATGCTGACTTGGAAGGCAACATACCTAATTAGGCATCTTTTATGACATGCCTGATAGGGTGGCAGTGGATCTACAGTTTGATACTCCCAAAATGTTGCCCTAGAACCCACACAGGGGAAAATGTTACAATGAAGGCACTTGATGATGATGAAAACCAAGTAGAATATCACAGAAAGAGCCTAATTTTCCTTGCACCAGTCACAACCACACACAATCACATGCTCACATTTCTTTGTTGAAGCTGCATATAGATGAATATTCATGGTGATGAGAACACAAGATGTATTGCTTTAAAGAATGATGATGTAGCTGTGTGTGTGGGCGTGTAAGCTGATCATGTATTGTATAGTTGTGTGTGGTGCAGCTGTTTGTATGTGTTGCAGCTGTTTGTGTGTGGTGCAGCTGTTTGTATGTGTTGCAGCTGTTTGTGTGTTGTAGCTGTTTTTATGTGGTGTAGTTTGAGTGTGCTAAAGCCGTTTTCAGGGGACAGGCAAATGTTGTTTTGGGGAGATGTGAGCAGCATATCTTAATGCCTTAAATGCATTCTTCACACTTCCTTTTTTTCTTTCTGGTTTACTTTCATTCTTTGTAGCTTTTTCTGAATGTTTTCTTTACTCTTCTTTCTTGTACTACTAATTAGTTTTTTTTTATAGGTTGATTGCTGTTTAATCTTCAGGGTTTTAAGATTGATTACTGTTTACTCTTCAGGGTTTTTGGATTGACTGTTTACTTTTCAGGGTTTTTGGATTGACTGTTTACTTTTCAGGGTTTTTGGATTGACTGTTTACTTTTCAGGGTTTTTGGATTGACTGTTTACTTTTCAGGGTTTTTAAAAATTGACTGTTTACTTTTCAGGGTTTTTGGATTGACTGTTTACTCTTCAGGGTTTTTGGATTGACTGTTTACTCTTCAGGGTTTTTGGATTGAGTGTTTACTTTTCAGGGTTTTTGGATTGACTGTTTACTTTTCAGGGTTTTTGGATTGACTGTTTACTTTTCAGGGTTTTCAGATTGAGTGTTTACTTTTCAGGGTTTTTAGATTGAGTGTTTACTCTTCAGGGTTTTTAGATTGATTGCTGTTTACTCTTCAGGGCGTTTAGATCGATTGCTGTTTACTCTTCAGAGTTTTTAGATCGATTGCTGTTTACTCTTCAGGGTTTTTAGATCGATTGCTGTTTATTCTTCAGGGTTTTTAGATCGATTGCTGTTTACTCTTCAGGGTTTTTAGATCGATTGCTGGGTTTGTTCAGAAGATTTAGTAGTAACCAGAAAATAATGTCCGGACATGCAGAGGCTTTTCAAAGTAGACACAGCACAAACTGTCACCATAGTAACAGGCATGGCCATGTGAAACTGGGACAAAACTGGATTTTGTATAACTGGTGGCTCCCTCTACATCACAAGCATGAAGGATGTCAAAGTTCACCTCTCGTGACTCGACACCCCTTGCTGTTTTAATGGTAAAGTGGGCACTACGTGAACTTTTGAAAAAGTTGAGACTGGGAAACAGTTCAGCCAAAGACACAACTTCATCTGCCTTACTAATCCCTGATTCATCGGCTGCAGTTTCAAGCTGACTAACCTCTAAGTCTGGAATATGGACTCTGCCATTTTTCTCCATCACAGAATCACCCTCAACAGGCTTCCCCTGTTTAAGGGCCTGTTTCTGTTTTCTCTGCTGTTTTTTCAGGAACCTGGATGGGTTTTTCTTGTCCTTTCTGTTACCGTTTGCAAGCATCTCATAATAGTCTTCCAATGAATCATTTACCAAGTCTTGTTTGGAAGCTTTTTGTTCTGTCTGAGAAGCTGAACTCTTGTTCAAGTCCCAGTCTGTCTCTTCAGGACGAGAGAACAAGGCAGACTCTGAAGGTCTTAAACTGACTCTGGCCCCTACAGACTTGTGTGTAAATACCAAACCAGCGACCTGAAGAACAAACATCCTGCCACAAGCTTGCTGGACGTCTGACCTCTGGTGATACTGGCCAGCCTCGGGAACCTTCCCTCGTGCACAAAATTTGGAAGTACAATGTAGAAGAGGACTGCTGGTGCCTTCACTGTATGCTGACAGAATTCCCTTGGTAATTTCTGAAATAAACAGAGAGGTACTTCCTGGTGAAACCATCCCTCAAATATTAAACACACACACATGCCTGCGTGGATTCAGGGACCCCACTATGGAGGGAACAGATTCTCCCCTTACAAGTTTGTTGTAAGAAATTACTTAATAGGGATATTTCCTTCAAAGTAGCAATGGATCTGCTTGAGAGGCGAGAAACCAAAAGTCTGCATATAAATAGCCCGATCTGTAAATCAGATGTGCATGCAGAACTCTGACCCTGGAACAAGACTAAAGTTCAGAAGTGGGTGAACAACCAGAATGTCCACCAGTTTACAGCCGGTGAAAGAAAGAAGAATATACACACACATTTACTTGTCAATACTCGACTGGGGCCAAACAATGTTGTTGTCCATAGAGACATGCTATAGTGTTCACAAATTGATGCCCATGTTCTAACAATTATATCTCGGCTGTAGTGTAAGTTAAATGGATGAAATTACATACTTATGTATAATTCATTCTCAACATTATGTCAGATACCCTTCTCCCCCCTCCCCCACCATAACAAGTAACTAGAATGTACTTTTTCCTTATTTGAGGTATATAAATATACAATAATGCTCGTTGGACTATCTTTTAAGAGGTAAACAGCACAATATTTAAATGTAACCAATCAATTAAAAAAAAAAACCTGAATCCGGTGTCTAGCATAAATAACAGCCAGACCAGGGAGCTTACAGTGTCGACATGCACTAAAAAATCTGTGTGCTGCATTTTGTCAGAGGCTGCAAAGACGTAACTTGTATTGTTAGTTCTTGTCTTATGAGGATGGCTCTGAAAGTTAAATTCATTACAGCGGGAGGCAAACGGCTTGACCACTTGGCCAAAGAGACCCTGGTGTTTTGTTGGTGAACCACAACCTTGAATGACTTCATTGCTACGACTATTCCCTTCATAGTTCATTAGAATAGCCTTTGCTGCTGCTAATTACTCAGTCAACATTTTAAATTTCTTGATAACTGATTGTAATTTCTCACTGACATGTAGATTATATGGAAATTTAGAAACACATCCAATGTGACCAGACATCATCCACACACTATTATGTCTGCTGAGAGAGACTAAGCCCTCATGGACATATCTCAAGTGGGAGGAAGGTGCTTATATTTACCAATAACTATTTTACACTAAATACTGTCACTGATCTTATGTAGCTTCTTACCTTCATCAGTACTCTCTGATTGTATTCTAAATTCCTTGGCTAAGTCCCTCTTGAAGTCTGGTAGTTTTGATAAACACTCTCCGAAGGATTTCAAACACAGCCTGATGAGATGATGTGAATGCGTCTTATTTGGAAACCAGCCGTAGTAGAGAGGTATCACATCATCAAACATGGCGATCTTTCTCTCTAAGACTTCTGCTGACACTCCATGCAGACTTCTTGCAGCCAGGTCTGCAGCATTCCATCGCCATGGTGTTTTAGGCTCCACCAGAACAGTTACGTAGCCAGTGCTGTTTGCTAGTGCCGTGTAAAACCGAAGCTCCCACCTTCTGACGTTGGTGTTGTCAATGACTACTATCGGGACCTGGCCCAAACATGCCTTCTTAGCTTTCTTCTGGCAGGTTTCATGGGCGGCCCCGAGCAGTGCCTCATCAAACACATATATTCCACCTGGTCTATAAAAAAAATCATCAGCTGAACAAATGACAACATGCTTGAATGCTGACTTTATCATTCTGGCTATTGACGACTTTCCTGACCCAGAGAGACCTCTCATTATAAACATAACCTTTGTGCATTTCTCATTGAGGTAGTTGAAAGTTTTTCTGTCTGTTAGGAACGGAAAGTTGAGATAGTTTCTGTCTAAGCTGGATGGCAATGATGATAGTAGATCAGATGTGGGAATTTGTGAAATATGAGCATCATTTAAAATACCAGAAGCATGAGTACTGTTGTTAATTCCTGAAGTACCAGATGAACTTGAGGTTCCCAACCTACGAGATGCATCTGGAATTGTGGATGTAGAAGTGGCACTTGGAGTGTGTGAAGTGAGTGTAGAAGGCTGGCTGTCTGCTACTGCTGCTGGCGGTGATGATTCTAGCATAATCTCACAGACTGGTATAGACTCTGAACCATCCTGTGGATATCATGAGGATTTGATCTTACACCAAACATCTAACACAAACATCAATATGTACAGGTAGTCAACAAACAGACACTGTTGCTGGGGTGTGTAATGTTTGAACCTTTACATATTCTAGGCCATGGCATATCAGTTGGGATTAGCAATTCCAGAAGGAATCTGAAGAACACATAGTGTTTTTGGAAAAGGGGAAGGGGGATGGGGGGGGGGGGGGGCAAGAATAATGGAACAACGACATGAAGAACCCCCCCCCTTGCCCCCCCCACCCCCCCCCCCCCCCAACCCCCCCCCCCCCCCCCCCCCGAAAACCCCCCCCCCCCCCCCCGAAAAAAAAAAATTTAAAAACACTTATACAATGCATTAGAAAGAGCACAGCGATATTCCCCCCCCCCTCCCTTTTTCCCACAACAGTGATAAGGTACTGGAGAAAGAGCACAGGGATATCCCCCCCTCCCTTTTCCCCACAACAGTGAAAAGGTACTGGAGAAAGAGAAGAAGAAGCAGCAGCCAGTTTTTGTCTTTCTCAGTATCTTTCCCGAACAATTTACAGAAATGTGTCAGGCTGCTACTGACTTGTAGAAGACTGGGTGGACCCTAGAGTTGCACTGGCTATTATCAGAAAATATACTTTTTGCTAGGGACTGAACTCTGATAATTGTCCTGACAGGCAAGTGCCCTAACCACTGTGCTATACTACAGTTGCTACCAAAACAGCAAACAATTAAACTGCCAACTCTACTGTAGAATCATTTCCTTCATCAACGTTGACACTAAGCTACTGTGTAGTGATGATGATGATGGAGCAACGTCTCTGAGAGCTGACTATTCACATCCGTGTGATTGCACCGACAATAAAGGCAACATCATGATACTTTTGGCTCCTTAACAGTAACTGTCCACAATAACTCTACAGAAGATGCCCAAACCGACTACTAAAGAGCTTTCATGTATTACTTGCAAACAGCCAGTGCAATCCTGAACTCAAAGTGAAACTATATACCATTTTCATTTTAAAGTGAACACTTCCAACTACCTAAGACATTTTTCAAACCAAACTGGATGCGTTTCAAACACCTAGGACATTTTTAAAGCTAAAATGTACATCTAATGGCTACTCAACAGATTACAAACTTGTCATCTCCTTGGGTCTCATCCTAATGTGACATTCAGCCACTTTATCCCAGTTTTTCATCACCATCAAGCACCTTGCTGACTGGCATGTGTAATCAGGCCTTTGTGATCTGCAACTGCGTGTATCAGTATTTTTCCAGTTGTCAATATGTTCTCCAATGTTTCTCTGCTCATTATGTGGCCAAAGAACAGTGTTTGTATCTTTCTTATTGTTGTATATAGAGATCTACTTTCATTAGTTTCATTCAAGCAATCGTTGTTAGTTACTCTGGCCGTCCAAGGTATTTGTAACATCTGTGACATTCCAAGATTCGTTGAACAGCAGAACAAGTTCTATGTAACATTTTAGCGCTCTCTTTCTGTGGTTAAGTCTCGATGCCATGACACAAAGCTGTCAAGATCTTCTCATGTTGTCTTCCTCTGTCTCTCTTTCCAGCGATCAAAGCATGCTCCAGGTTTTACAAGGGCACCAACAAGTTACATCTCTCTTTCCAGTGATCAAAGCATGCTCCAGGTTTTACAAGGGGACCAACAAGTTACATCTCTCTTTCCAGCGATCAAAGCATGCTCCAGGTTTTACAAGGGGACCAACAAGTTACATCTCTCTTTCCAGCGATCAAAGCATGCTCCAGGTTTTACAAGGGGACCAACAAGTTACATCTCTCTTTCCAGTGATCAAAGCATGCTCCAGGTTTTACAAGGGGACCAACAAGTTACATCTCTCTTTCCAGTGATCAAAGCATGCTCCAGGTTTTACAAGGGGACCAACAAGTTACATCTCTCTTTCCAGTGATCAAAGTATGCTCCAGGTTTTACAAGGGGACCAACAAGTTACATCTCTCTTTCCAGTGATCAAAGCATGCTCCAGGTTTAACAAGGGGACCAACAAGTTACATCTCTCTTTCCAGTGATCAAAGCATGCTCCAGGTTTTACAAGGGGACCAACAAATTACATCTCTCTTTCCAGTGATCAAAGTATGCTCCAGGTTTTAAAAAGGGACCAACAAATTACATCTCTCTTTCCAGTGATCAAAGCATGCTCCAGGTTTTACAAGGGGACCAACAAGTTACATCTCTCTTTCCAGTGATCAAAGCATGCTCCAGGTTTTACAAGGGGACCAACAAGTTACATCTCTCTTTCCAGTGATCAAAGCATGCTCCAGGTTTTACAAGGGGACCAACAAATTACATCTCTCTTTCCAGTGATCAAAGCATGCTCCAGGTTTTACAAGGGGACCAACAAGTTACATCTCTCTTTCCAGTGATCAAAGCATGCTCCAGTTTCATTTTTTTACAAGGGGACCAACAAATTACATCTCTCTTTCTGTTTTTACAGTCACCTATTATGTTCCACTGGATGATTATTTGACTTGTTGATATATTCCTGTTATTAATTTAAAGTGACATCTGTCTGAAGCTGAATGGGTTAAAGAAAAATTGTCTGGTCTAGAAAGATCAACAGAATTTGCAAATGTGGACCTGACATCCAAAATGTGGGTCATGGGGTCACTGCGGTGTCAAACCATCAGAAGTAATATCCTGGAGGAGAAATAACAACAAAATAGTTTGATTACGCAGGAAATGGCTGATCACATACACATAAAAAAAAAAAAAGAAACAGCAAGAGCATTACAAGAAAATATTATGCTTCGGTGAAAGTCAAACTTTACGGGTTGCTGAGTGAATTACAAAAGACAGTGAAGTTCATACTAGAGACAAAACTGCAGAAATAGATAATCTATTTCAAGCGAATGGAAGAAGAAGAAGATGAACAAGAAAATTAATTCCAAAATGGCTTGTCCCATCTGCAACATGTTGAACCAGACAGACCTGATCCAAGACTAGTGGATGTGAGGTGGCCAACTATGACTGCCTTAAGGCATCTGTATGCTGCATGATGAATATCATGCACCATTTTCTGTTAGAAAAGTAGTGGCTCTAAATATATATGTATGGTTTTAAATTCTTAAGTATCAAAATTGACTTTACCTGTGACAGTACGATCTGTCCCGCAAAACAGGCTGACTCTAAGGGGTCTGATGTTTCCCAGTAGACAGGTGCTAAAATCAGAAACTTGACATACGTCATGTTCACTTGTTTTCCTGTAAGTCAACCACATCTAACTTTACATCAATGCCAAGACATATCAAAAATTAAAAAAAATGTAAAGATCTCGTCTATTCCTACTTTAACGCCATTGCCTACAGGTGGTGAAACAACCACTTGCCTTGTTTTTACCGCTTCCGCCGTGATGATCTGTTTTTAGCTTTTGTAGTCATGGTACTCTTCCGAATACTGTTTTAAATATAATCATATATTGTCATTGAATAATTTATATTTTACTAACATTCTGGTCAAGATATGGAACACCAAATTATCACTGCTGTTCCTAATCTCATTATGAAATATTACACTAAATATCACAAAGATATAGTGAAGTAGAGCAATAGAACTAGAGTGAAGTCCGACGGCCACAGAACTACATCATGGAATACTTGGCCGGGAAAATTAAACAAAAAGGTGCTTGCAGAAATTAAGCTGGGAACCCAGTTCCCTCAGATCTGATGTAACATTTATGAAATCTTTATTATCCAATTTCCCTGCAGCACGACGTGACAATTACAACTAATTATAATCCAATATAGGACAACAACGGTGAGGCCCGACACAGACAGGGATTTGGTCTGCTAGAGACAACAACTACGTCTGCTAGCTTCACTTCCGGTACAAACATTCGTACATCTCTCATTTCGCGTTTTTACATCTTGTCGTTCGACCAGGGTAAACTTTTCACTGGTGGAAGAAAATGATTCGCGATGTTATTTTTTTTAATGTATTTGTGACATTGGTTATTTGGTCCTTCATATGTTACACCAGTATAATTTAGTTTTCATTAGCTTTGTGATTGCTTTTAACCATATTTTCATGCTTCTCCTGGACAGTTGGACAGTTCCCCTACGCGCTTTTTTACTAAATTAATTTAAATTATAAAGACATTAAAAAGTAAGTAGTTACGTCTTAAGTAATTAAATTTATACAATGTAGGGATGCTAGTGAATCTTTATATATTGACACAGTTAGATAGAGATTAAAATTGCAAATTCAACGATACCATTAGTGAAGCCTGTAAAAGTCAATTCTAAGCAGATATATTACTAAATAATAATTAACATTTTAGTGGCGGATACCAGCGTACACAGATTATAATTTAATTAATAATGACTGACAAGTGATGGGTAAAGTACGCCAGGCACTACTTGACAAGTCCTTTATTGGTCATAGAGAGATAGACAACGGAACAAATGAGTGCACTCAAGTATATTGCCTGTACATGACTGTGACTACAAACAATGGTAGCTAGATCAGAATCACTAGCTACATTTAGCTTGTTCACAGAAATTGTTTTGTTTCTTAACCCTTTGGAGACCGAGCCTTTTTAGAGTTTCGTTGCGAAGAAGACGGAGTCTTCAGGAGGGGATTCTCATAGCTTATACACACAAAATTATAAAAAAAAATAATTCACAGCACACAGGGCATTCCCATATGCGCTCCGTCCACATCTTCAGCGGCCAGCGAAGAGTTCCGATACTAATGGTGCCAGTAGCATTCTTATTAAACGTCCATCTTGCCTTTCCTCTGAGCCTTGAGCATCTGCCAGAACCTCTCATCACTCCCCCCTTGCATTAATCTCACCAGACTGTGGTGATCCATCTGCTTCTCTGAACTGTACACGCTCTCCCATAAGGCACTAACCACGTCAGCCTTATCATGCATCAGTGTTGCACTAAATTGTGCAGAGCCAGCCAGTCTGTCCGCATGTTTATTTCCCAACACACCTGCATATCCTGGTGAAAAAATCCAGACTATACTCATCACCCGTGTCCTCTGCAGCAAGGCATGCCACTCTGCACGAAGCATGCCTGTTCTAATCTTCCTCAGCATGCTTTCTGAGTCAGTTACAATCACGATGTGTGTGTGTGTGTCATGTTCTCTAGCCAGCGGAAAGCTGCAGTGACCGCCTCCAACTCCAAACTTGAGCTGGTTGTTGTAGGAAATTTGAATGAACTAACAGAATATTTATGAATCAAACTGAAATCTCAACATCTATTCAAATTAACTATTCTGATTTACATAATTTATGCAAGCAGAAAAAAAAATCTTGGAAACAAACATAACTAGCCTGAAAAATGTGGGTGCATTTTTTAATGGATATTGCTTGAATAAGTCCCAACACCTGTATTTTGGGAAGTAAGTCCCTTGGAGGCCGTTCAGACACGTCTGGCACATGGTTCTAATTATTTTCCTACCTCCAGCCATGTTTCAGTTGCTATGATGCAACAGTCCTTTTTTGCATTTTTTGGGCATAGGTAAACCTCAGAAAAAAAAATTGTAATATTACAGAACTCATCAAACTTTCTCAAAAGCCGTCAATGAACAGCCTACATGTGAAAGAAATGCGAGAAGCAGTCTTATTAGCTGGTGCGAAAACCTGCCAGCCAGTATCAAGGCTTTTATTACGCAGGACCAACCGATGGGCCCATCCATTCTTCTGGCTACTTGACGTTGGCCCGATATTTCGGCCGCATCGTCTCCAGAGGATTAAAGTTAAAAAATATGGTTGCACATCATTTCTGTGGTACTGGTTTTCTGTATTTCTGAAGAAAGAAGAGAAATATCTGGGCAACAACTAGTACGAACAGTTATAAGACAGAGGAGATAGCTGGGCAACAACTAGTACGAACAGTTATAAGACAGAGGAGATGGCTGGGCAACAACTAGTACGAACAGTTATAAGACAGAGGAGATAGCTAGGCAACAACTAGTACGAACAGTTATAAGACAGAGGAGATAGCTAGGCAACAACTAGTACAAACAGTTATAAGACAGAGGAGATATCTGGGCAACAACTAGTACGAACAGTTATAAGACAGAGGAGATGGCTGGGCAACAACTAGTACGAACAGTTATAAGACAGAGGAGATGGCTGGGCAACAACTAGTACGAACAGTTATAAGACAGAGGAGATGGCTGGGCAACAACTAGTACGAACAGTTATAAGACAGAGGAGATGGCTAGGCAACAACTAGTACGAACAGTTATAAGACAGAGGAGATATCTGGGCAACAACTAGTACGAACAGTTATAAGACAGAGGAGATAGCTGGGCAACAACTAGTACGAACAGTTATAAGACAGAGGAGATGGCTGGGCAACAACTAGTATGAACAATTATAAGACAGAGGAGATGGCTGGGCAACAACTAGTACGAACAGTTATAAGACAGAGGAGATGGCTGGGCAACAACTAGTACGAACAGTTATAAGACAGAGGAGATGGCTGGGCAACAACTAGTATGAACAATTATAAGACAGAGGAGATGGCTGGGCAACAACTAGTACGAACAGTTATAAGACAGAGGAGATGGCTGGGCAACAACTAGTATGAACAGTTATAAGACAGAGGAGATGGCTGGGCAACAACTAGTACGAACAGTTATAAGACAGAGGAGATGGCTGGGCAACAACTAGTATGATCAGTTATAAGACAGAGGAGATGGCTGGGCAACAACTAGTATGAACAGTTATAAGACAGAGGAGATAGCTGGGCAACAACTAGTACGAACAGTTATAAGACAGAGGAGATGGCTGGGCAACAACTAGTATGAACAGTTATAAGACAGAGAAGATGGCTGGGCAACAACTAGTACGAACAGTTATAAGACAGAGGAGATGGCTGGGCAACAACTAGTATGAACAGTTATAAGACAGAGGAGATAGCTGGGCAACAACTAGTACGAACAGTTATAAGACAGAGGAGATAGCTGGGCAACAACTAGTATGAACAGTTATAAGACAGAGGAGATAGCTGGGCAACAACTAGTACGAACAGTTATAAGACAGAGGAGATGGCTGGGCAACAACTAGTATGAACAGTTATAAGACAGAGGAGATAGCTGGGCAACAACTAGTACGAACAGTTATAAGACAGAGGAGATAGCTGGGCAACAACTAGTATGAACAGTTATAAGACAGAGGAGATAGCTGGGCAACAACTAGTACGAACAGTTATAAGACAGAGGAGATAGCTAGGCAACAACTAGTACGAACAATTATAAGACAGAGGAGATAGCTAGGCAACAACTAGTACGAACAGTTATAAGACAGAGGAGATGGCTGGGCAACAACTAGTACGAACAATTATAAGACAGAGGAGATGGCTGGGCAACAACTAGCACGAACAGTTATAAGACAGAGGAGATAGCTGGGCAACAACTAGTACGAACAGTTATAAGACAGAGGAGATGGCTGGGCAACAACTAGTATGAACAGTTATAAGACAGAGGAGATGGCTGGGCAACAACTAGTACGAACAGTTATAAGACAGAGGAGATGGCTGGGCAACAACTAGTATGAACAGTTATAAGACAGAGGAGATGGCTGGGCAACAACTAGTACGAACAGTTATAAGACAGAGGAGATGGCTGGGCAACAACTAGTATGAACAGTTATAAGACAGAGGAGATGGCTGGGCAACAACTAGTACGAACAGTTATAAGACAGAGGAGATGGCTGGGCAACAACTAGCACGAACAGTTATAAGACAGAGAAGATGGCTGGGCAACAACTAGTACGAACAGTTATAAGACAGAGGAGATGGCTGGGCAACCACTAGTACGAACAGTTATAAGACAGAGGAGATGGCTGGGCAACAACTAGCACGAACAATTATAAGACAGAGGAGATGGTTGGGCAACCACTAGTACGAACAGTTATAAGACAGAGGAGATGGCTGGGCAACCACTAGTATGAACAATTATAAGACAGAGGAGATGGCTGGGCAACAACTAGCACGAACAATTATAAGACAGAGGAGATGGTTGGGCAACCACTAGTACGAACAGTTATAAGACAGAGGAGATGGCTGGGCAACCACTAGTATGAACAATTATAAGACAGAGGAGATGGCTGGGCAACAACTAGCACGAACAATTATAAGACAGAGGAGATGGTTGGGCAACCACTAGTACGAACAGTTATAAGACAGAGGAGATGGTTGGGCAACCACTAGTACGAACAGTTATAAGACAGAGGAGATGGCTGGGCAACAACTAGTACGAACAGTTATAAGACAGAGGAGATGGCTGGGCAACAACTAGTACGAACAGTTATAAGACAGAGGAGATGGCTGGGCAACAACTAGTACGAACAGTTATAAGACAGTGGAGATGGCTGGGCAACAACTAGTATGAACAGTTATAAGACAGTGGAGATGGCTGGGCAACAACTAGTATGAACAGTTATAAGACAGTGGAGATGGCTGGGCAACCACTAGTACGAACAGTTATAAGACAGTGGAGATGGCTGGGCAACAACTAGTATGAACAGTTATAAGACAGTGGAGATGGCTGGGCAACAACTAGTATGAACAGTTATAAGACAGTGGAGATAGCTGGGCAACAACTAGTATGAACAGTTATAAGACAGAGGAGATAGCTGGGCAACAACTAGTATGAACAGTTATAAGACAGAGGAGATGGCTGGGCAACAACTAGTATGAACAGTTATAAGACAGAGGAGATGGCTGGGCAACAACTAGTATGAACAGTTATAAGACAGAGGAGATGCGCTATATTGGACACATCCTGAGAAGAAACCAGCAGAGAATCAGCAAACAGGCATTAAACTGGAAAGTAAAAGGATTAAGGAGTCAGCGAACGTTTCTCAGGTGTGCCAAAACCTAAAGGCTCAACCCCCTGACACCCCCCCCCCCTAGACAGCTCTCAAGAATGCCAGAACCCAATGGCTCAACCACCTGACACCCCCCCTCCCCCCCCCCCCCCCCAGACAGTTCTCAAGTGTGCCAGAACCTAAAGATTCAACCACCTGACACCCCCTTCCCCTAGACAGTTCTCAAGTGTGCCAGAACCTAAAGGCTCAACCACCTGACACCCCCTTCCCCTAGACAGTTCTCAAGTGTGCCAGAACCTAAAGACTCAACCCCCTGACACCCCCCCCCCCCCCTTAGACAGTTCTCATCTCAAGTGTGCCAGAACCCAAAGGCTCAACCACCTGACACCCCCCCCCCCCCCCCCCCCCCCAGTCAGTTCTCAAGTGTGCCAGAACCTAAAGGCTCAATCCCCTGACACCCACTTCCCCTAGACAGTTGTCAAGTGGGCCAGAACCTAAAGGCTCAACCCCCTGACACTCCCTCCACCCCCCCCCCCCCCCCCTCAGACATTTCTCAAGTGTGCCAAAACCTAAAGGCTCAACCCCCTGACACCCCCTCCCCCCCCCCCCCCCAGACAGTTCTCAAGTGTGCCAGAACCTAAAGGCTCAACCCCCTGACACCCCCCCCCCCCCCCAGACAGCTCTCAAGGGTGCCAGAATCTAAAGGCTCAACCCCCTGACACCCCCCCCCCCCCAGACAGCTCTCAAGTATGCCAGAACCCAAAGGCTCAACCACCTGACACCCCCCCCCCCCCCCCCCCCAGACAGTTCTCAAGTGTGCCAGAACCTAAAGACTCAACCACCTGACACCCCCTTCCCCTAGACAGTTCTCAAGTGTGCCAGAACCTAAAGGCTCAACCCCCTGACCCCCCCCCCCCCCCCATACAGCTCTCAAGTGTGCCAGAACCTAAAGGCTCAACCACCTGACACCCCCCCCCCCCCTAGACAGTTCTCAAGTATGCCAGAACCCAAAGGCTTAACCCCCTGACACCCCCTTCCCCTAGACAGTTCTTAAGGGGGCTAATGGGACATTTAGCCATCTATAAAAATTATATTTTAAGTATTTGTTTATAACCTGTTACCCTCCCCCCCCCTCCCCCCCACCTTTTCCTCCCAATTTTTGAAGGACCAGAACTAGATCAGAAATTAAGTACCCTCATGTTGTCTTTCTGTCGGCCTGCCTGCCTGGGTGCTACACATCTGTGAGCTGCAACACTTCCCACTAGAAATGTTTATTGTGAATGTTTACTCAGTAATTTCAAAACACTGACTCATGCTCTGTCTCTCTCTCTCACACACACACACACTCTCTCTCTCTCTCTCTCTGTGTCTCTCTCACACACACACACACACACACACATACTCACTCTCTCTGTGTCTCTCTCTCACACACACTTGTGTATGCTAGTTTAAAATAATAGTAGTAATGTTATAGGAATTGGTTTGATTGTAAGTAGTGTATACACTGCCAGCAATGTCTACAATGTGTATATGTTGCTGTAAGAGATCAAACTTGTTTCACTTCTTTATTTTGTGTAGAACAGTTTCGAACCAGGCTCCAGTCCATGGACTGCTGGTCGTCTCACTATCATAGAACATGAGTGTTCCTGAAGTTTCCAAGCAAACTGCATTAGAATCCAGACCATGGGAGCCGTCAGATGGCACACTTCCTCAAGTAGAATATCTAGATCATGTGACTTCTTATGAGGAATTCTTTCAGAATATCTTACTAAGAAACCAGTTATGCATCATTGGATCAGAGGCCACAGCTGGCTGGACATGTCGGAACAACTGGGTTCTCTCTGATGGAAGTCCAAATTTGGATTACTTGCTGCAACATTTTGGTGAGCGTGTGTTTGTTTAACAAATGTTTCTGCTTTCTCCTCCTGTCCCTCTTTCTTCTGGGTATCTCTAAAATAAAACCAAGGCCTTTTGTAGGAAAAGGCCATCTCTAAGATGAAACCAAGGCCTTCTGTAGGAAAGGGTCATCTCTAAGATGAAACCAAGGCCTTTTGTAGGATAGGGCCATCTCTAAGATGAAACCAAGGCCTTCTGTAGGATAGGGTCATCTCTAAGATGAAACCAAGGCCTTCTGTAGGATAGGGCCATCTCTAAGATGAAACCAAGGCCTTCTGTAGGATAGGGCCATCTCTGAGATGAAACCAAGGCCTTTTATAGGAAAGGGCCATCTCTAAGATGAAACCAAGGCCTTCTGTAGGATAGGGCCATCTCTAAGATGAAACCAAGGCCCTCTGTAGGATAGGGCCATCTCTAAGATGAAACCAAGGCCTTTTATAGGAAAGGGTCATCTCTAAGATGAAACCAAGGCCTTCTGTAGGATAGGGCCATCTCTAAGATGAAACCAAGGCCTTCTGTAGGAAAGGGCCATCTCTAAGATGAAACCAAGGCCTTCTGTAGAAAAGGGCCATCTCTAAGATGAAACCAAGGCCTTCTGTAGGAAAGGGCCATCTCTAAGATGAAACCAAAGCCTTGTGTAGGAAAGGGCCATCTCTAAGATGAAACCAAGGCCTTCTGTAGGATAGGGCCATCTCTGAGATGAAACCAAGGCCTTGTGTAGGATAGGGCCATCTCTAAGATGAAACCAAAGCCTTCTGTAGGAAAGGGCCATCTCTAAGATGAAACCAAAGCCTTCTGTAGGAAAGGGCCATCTCTAAGATGAAACCAAGGCCTTCTGTAGGAAAGGGCCATCTCTAAGATGAAACCAAGGCCTTCTGTAGGATAGGGCCATCTCTAAGATGAAATCAAGGCCTTCTGTAGGATAGGGCCATCTCTAAGATGAAACCAAGGCCTTCTGTAGGAAAGGGCCATCTCTAAGATGAAACCAAGGCCTTTTGTAAGATAGGGCCATGGGGCTGACATCATCAGCTTGACCTGACCTCACCACCTTGGGCTAACGATACATTCCGTTTTTACTCTGACAGTGTGTTCGATGTGTTCCCTGCCATCCACTATGTACTTCCCACAGAAATTCTAGGAATAAGCTTGAGAATAGAATATTTATATAGGAATGTACACATATACACACTAAAGGGGAACACTAGGATGTCCCATTTTCAGCTCACAATAGAACAACATAGAAACAGCAAGTACAACAGACATTTCTTACATTGTACCTCCACGGTGAAACAGCTGTGTGTAGTCTGTGGACATTGCACCTGAGTCAACATCATATGCTTATGACCTATCCATCTGCAGTAAAGCCTTGCGTACAGCACACTGAAATTTTTTTTTTTTAGCTTACTAGAGACAAATCCGGCAATATATACCAGTGACTTCTCTGAACCAAAACCAGTAATTCACAGTCACTCGGGTTTATATTTAAAAAAAAAACATTGTTCACATCTAGCTAAACATGCATCAGTAACTATATCATCACCATTTTCACCTTCATTGCCGCTGAGAAACTCTGAGGGGTCAGGGGCAGGAAACTCTCCATAAGTTGATGAGGACATACTTAGCAGTGAGTCAACTTTTAGTTTCTTTTCTGCTTCTAAAACTTGCTTAATAGATACTAGATAGTTTGCTCCTGATAACTGGCCATATTCACCAAACTGAGCTTCTGTTGTCAGTCTGCAGCTTTCCAAGAAGTATAAAACTTTCTTCTGTGGTTGCAAATAGATATTTGATTAGAAAAAGCACTGCGGTCACCGTATGCAGCAGAGCACTGTGTGTTTCTTTGGTCAGTTTTCCTTGTCAGCTTGTCCCATTTTCTTAGCTACTCAGCAAACTGTTCTAGATAATGCACTTGTTTATCATCATTTCACAATATGGGATTGGAGAATGAGTTCATGGTCTTCTTAAGTACAAAATTACTTTTCACATCAACAATATGCCACCATCTAAGAAGACACTAAAAAGAATCTGCTGTCTCATTAGTGCCCACTAGATGCAGAGCAGCATTGTATTCACTACCCACATCAATCACTGAGGCAAGTTTGTGTACTACTGACATCATCCACTGATTCAAGTTTGTGTAACCGGTGTACTACTGACATCATTCACTGAGGCAAGTTTGTGTAACCGGTGTACTACTGACATCATCCACTGAGGCAAGTTTGTGTAACCGGTGTACTACTGACATCATCCACTAAGGCAAGTTTGTGTAACCAGTGTACTACTGACATCATCCACTGAGGCAAGTTTGTGTAACCGGTGTACTACTGACATCATCCACTGAGGCAAGTTTGTGTAACAAATGTAAAACTGACATCATCCACTGAGGCAAGTTTGTGTAACTGGTGTACTACTGACATCATCTGCTGAGGCAAGTTTGTGTAACTGGTGTACTACTGACATCATCCACTGAGGCAAGTTTGTGTAACTGGTGCACTACTGACATCATTCACTGAGGCAAGTTTGTGTAACTGGTGTACTACTGACATCATCTGCTGAGGCAAGTTTGTGTAACTGGTGTACTACTGACATCATCCACTGAGGCAACGTTTGTGTAACTGGTGTACTACTGACATCATCCACTGAGGCAAGTTTGTGTAACCGGTGTACTACTGACATCATCCACTGAGGCTAGTTTGTGTAACAAATGTACAACTGACATCATCCACTGAGGCAAGTTTGTGTAACAAATGTACAACTGACATCATCCACTGAGGCAAGTTTGTGTAACAAATTTACAACTGACATCATCCACTGAGGCAAGACTGTGTATCTGGTGTACAACTGACATCGTCCACTGAGGCAAGACTGTGTATTCGGTGCACTACTGACATCATCCACTGAGGCAAGACTGTGTATCTGGTGCACTACTGACATCATCCACTGAGACAATACTGTATTCGGTGCACTACTGACATCATCCACCAAGCCTGTTATTTGTGTATCAGTTGCATCTTCAGCTGTCCCATTTGAAATCCATTGTTGTTCTGCAGCACTTTTAAAAATACTTCCTGCTTCTCCAATTAAATCTGCTCCGATGCAGGCACTAGGACTCAGAAGGTTTTGAATAGGACACTGCAGTTGTAAGAACAAGAAGAAAAATAAACATGTCATTTGTTTTTTTCTGTTGTAGGTGAGTCAGTGGCTCCAGTGGCAGACTGTCAGTCAGAACAGTTTTGTGCGCACCCAAAAACAGAGATGACAGTCAAGGAATATTTATCTTATTGGCAAAGCTACATATCAGGTGATCGCACCCGAAGTAGGAGATGTCAGTACCTCAAAGACTGGCACTTTGTGAGGTAAGATGGCAGCAGAAGTTGACGTCAGTTTCTGTCTCTATCATTGTCTTTTTGTTGAGACTTTGGACGATTGAGAATGGATGGCTATGGTTTAAACTAATCATTGCTTCTTTCTCTAAAGATCAAGCCTTCCAGCCACACTGTTCCTACAAAAGTCCTGTGGTACCTTCCAGCCACACTGTTCCAACAAAAGTCCTGTGGTACCTTCCAGCCACACTGTTCCAACAAAAGAGGTGGTACCTTCCAGCCACACTGTTTCAACAAAAGAGGTGGTGCCTTCCAGCCACACTGTTCCAACAAAAGTCCTGTGGTACTTTCCAGCCACACTGTTCCAACAAAAGTCCTGTGGTACCTTCCATCTACACTGTTCCAACAAAAGTCATGTGGTACTTTCCAGCCACACTGTTCCAACAAAAGTCCTGTGGTGCTTTCCAGCCACACTGTTCCAACAAAAGTCCTGTGGTACCTTCCAGCCACACTGTTCCAACAAAAGTCCTGTGGTACCTTCCAGCCACACTGTTCCAACAAAAGAGGTGGTACCTTCCAGCCACACTGTTCCAACAAAAGTCCTGTGGTACCTTCCAGCCACACTGTTCCAACAAAAGTCCTGTGGTACCTTCCAGCCACATTGTTCCAACAAAAGAGGTGGTATCTTCCTGCCACACTGTTCCAACAAAAGTCCTGTGGTACCTTCCAGCCACACTGTTCCAACAAAAGAGGTGGTACCTTCCAGCCACACTGTTCCAATAAAAGAGGTGGTACCTTCCAGCCACACTGTTCCAACAAAAGAGGTGGTACTTTCCAGCCACACTGTTCCAACAAAAGAGGTGGTACCTTCCAGCCACACTGTTCCAACAAAAGAGGTGGTACCTTCCAGCCACACTGTTCCAACAAAAGTCCTGTGGTACCTTCCAGCCACACTGTTCCAACAAAAGTCCTGTGGTACCTTCCAGCCAAACTGTTCCAACAAAAGAGGTGGTACCTTCCAGCCACACTGTTCCAACAAAAGTCCTGTGGTACCTTCCAGCCACACTGTTCCAACAAAAGAGGTGGTACCTTCCAGCCACACTGTTCCAATAAAAGAGGTGGTACCTTCCAGCCACACTGTTCCAACAAAAGAGGTGGTACTTTCCAGCCACACTGTTCCAACAAAAGAGGTGGTACCTTCCAGCCACACTGTTCCAACAAAAGTCCTGTGGTGCCTTTCAGCCACACTGTTCCAACAAAAGTCCTGTGGTGCCTTTCAGCCACACTGTTCCAACAAAAGTCCTGTGGTACTTTTCAGCCACACTGTTCCAACAAAAGTCCTGTGGTGCTTTCCAGCCACACTGTTCCAACAAAAGTCCTGTGGTACCTTCCAGCCACACTGTTCCAACAAAAGCCCTGTGGTACCTTCCAGCCACACTGTTCCAACAAAAGTCCTGTGGTACCTTCCAGCCACACTGTTCCAACAAAAGTCCTGTGGTACCTTCCAGCCACACTGTTCCAACAAAAGTCCTGTGGTGCCTTCCAGCCATACTGTTCCAACAAAAGTCCTGTGGTGCCTTCCAGCCACACTGTTCCAACAAAAGTCCTGTGGTACCTTTCAGCCACACTGTTCCAACAAAAGTCCTGTGGTACCTTCCAGCCACACTGTTCCAACAAAAGAGGTGGTACCTTCCAGCCACACTGTTTCAACAAAAGTCCTGTGGTGCCTTCCAGCCACACTGTTCCAACAAAAGTCCTGTGGTGCCTTCCAGCCACACTGTTCCAACAAAAGTCCTGTGGTACCTTTTAGCCACACTGTTCCAACAAAAGTCATGTGGTGCTTTCTAGCCAAACTGTTCCAACAAAAGTTCTGTGGTGTTCGATTTGGTGAAAATATTTCATTTTTTTTTTTTTAGATTTATTAGTTTTTTTTCATATGTTCTGATTGTGTAAAATAGCAGTATTTGTTTTAGACTTATTCAGATTTGTCAAATGTTCTGATCGTGTAAAATAGCAGTATTTGTTTGAAAATCTTGACCTTTGGTATTCCAAGCATTTTTTCATTCTGTAATACAAGCTTTGATTCTGAATACCTAAAAAGACATTAAGAATGTCCACAGGCAAAATTATATTTCAACCAAATCTAACAATAAATAATTAATAAATTTTGAATAACTTAGTCCCTTATTAATAACCACAGGAACTGTTCAAATGCCTCGTTGAACCACATTAATATCCTATGTAAAACACCAGTAAAGAGACAAATACAAGTGAACACTCTTAGAACATGCTTCTGTCCCGAGGCAACAAGTGGGTGTCAATCATGGACATCTTATAATCACTAATGGAGAAAATCACCTTCTGCTATTCTGAAGAGTTGTTGAGTATTTCTCACCTTTTCAGAAATCTTTGTGCAGTCTTGGTGATCATTTAATATCAGGCCCAAGCTATGTTATGCTTGTATATCTTTGTTCCAGTCTTTTTTTTTTAAGTGAAAAAAAAATAAATTAATAGACCCCAGGCCCTCTAACCCCAGGCCCCCTAAAACATGTCACATCAAAGACAACTAAGTAGCGGTTTGCTGTATTTTCATATCTGTTGGATTAGGAGGGAGGAAAATATCACAGCCTAGCTGAAAACCACAACACAAGGTGCCAACCACACTTGTAAGGATGAACTCAGAAGAAGAAAAAGTTTATATTTGTTTTTTTGTAGGACCAGTAACAAACATCTTATTGCACTTTCTTTATATCACTTTATTATTTCGTATAGCATTTTTTTCTGTGAGGTATTCTGCATCTAATTTGACCAGTCACATCCACCCTATTCAGAGATTTCCCTGGCTACTCCGAGTATCAGACACCGACAGTTCTGTGCTCTGATTGGATGAATGAATTCTGGGATGTGTGGCAAGGTCAAGGGAACAAAGATGACTACAGATTTGTCTACATGGGGCCCGCTGGTTCTTGGACCTCCTTTCATGCTGATGTCTTACACTCCTATAGCTGGTCAGCCAATATCTGTGGTAGAAAACAGTGGATTTTCTTCCCACCAGGTTTGTAAACTACTGCTCCTTCTCCTGCTCCTCCATTTTATTTGTCCATGTCCTCCCCTTCTTATTTATTACTGTAGGGTTGTTTACATAAACAGTTTTTCTCTGTGCTGAAATTAGAACTTTTTTAAACTTGCAAATAGTTTTTGTGGATTTCTCTTTGCCTCTTTAAATTCTCTTATTGAGTTTAGTTTTGTTTTTTGCTGTTTGGTTATTCTATACTATCTGTTGTCTGTCTCAGCTTAGTGCTGTTCGGTTATTCTATACTATCTGTTGTCTGTCGCAGCTTAGTGCTGTTTGGTTATTCTATACTATATGTTGTCTGTCGCAGCTTAGTGCTGTTTGGTTATTCTATACTATCTGTTGTCTGTCTCAGCTTAGTGCTGTTTGGTTATTCTGTACTATCTGTTGTCTGTCGCAGCTTAGTGCTGTTTGGTTATTCTATACTATATGTTGTCTGTCTCAGCTTAGTGCTGTGTGGTTATTCTATACTATCTGTTGTCTGTCACAGCTTAGTGCTGTTTGGTTATTCTATACTATCTGTTATCTGTCGCAGCTTAGTGCTGTTTGGTTATTCTATACTATCTGTTGTCTGTCTCAGCTTAGTGCTGTTTGGTTATTCTATACTATCTGTTGTCTGTCGCAGCTTAGTCCTCTAAGGTGTCATAGGCATGACTAATGATTGGTTTCCAAGATATTTCTTGAGCTCACTGCTTTGTTGTTTTTCCAACCATTTTACAAGTTCATCTCAAATATCTACAGCAAATTAAGGTGAGAATTTTAATCCACTACGGGCGTTCTGGACCTGATGTAGATTCATCCTGAAAATGCACATTGTTTTCGGGTATTAATTGTTCTCTCCAGACCCCCCACCCTTTAAAAAAAAATTGCAATCTTAATTTTCTAGTTTGTAGCACATAGATTTCGGTCACAGAATTGAGGGAAGTTAAGGCAGTTGTCCTTCTACTGAAGGTTCTCCAGGCAGCCTGGTGTAGCAAAACTATACCAAAAGATTGGGAGATTGCCATAATTATACCTATATTTAAAAAAGGTGATAACAGACAATGTGAAAACCACAGAGGCATATCCCTCCTCAGCATTCCCGGTAAAAGTTACTCTAGAATTCTTGAGCAGAGACTTAGAAGTCTGGTAGAGCCACAGCTGGACGAGGCCCAGTGCGGCTTCAGAGCAAACCGAAGTACTCAAGACCTTATCTTCACACTGAGACAGATGAGTGAAAAAGCCCTGGAATATAAGAGTGAGATTCACTTATGTTTTTTGGATCTGGAAAAGGCATTTGACAAGGTACCCTGGAACAAGCTCTGGGACTGCTTGGCAGGGGAAAAACATCCCAGCACCCCTGATCAGTGCAATACAGAGTTTCTACAAAAAGTGCAGAAATTATGTAAGAACAGCAGACCAAAAGTCAGAAGAATTTAAGACCACCAGCGGTGTTAGACAAGGTGATATTCTCTCACCTTACCTCTTCATTCTTATGATGGATGATGTCATCAAGACCTGTAAGGAGAAGACAAAGAAGTACTCTGTAGGGTACTGGAAGATGAGACCAATCTGTATATCAGAGCTGGCTTTTGCAGACGATGTGGCCCTGATAGCTAAATCAGAGGCACACCTTCAGTACAACTTACTTGTCTGGAAGGAAGAGCTTGAAAAGAAAGGGATGACCATCAGTGTCTCCAAAACTATAAACCATGGTGATCTCAAGAGAGGAGAAGAAACACCAGATCATGATGGGTCAGTATGCGTTGGAGCAGGTTAACCAGTTCAAATACCTTGGAGTTGTATTAGACCAAAATGGAGGCATTAAGACTGAGCTGGCTACACGAAAAGCAGCTGCTGGGAGACTCTTCCAGGCCATAAACCGAGGGTTTCTTAGCAAAAGAGAAATTGGCAAGAGGACGAAAATGGCTGTTTACCGCTCTACCTATGTACCAGTCCACCTATGGGTGTGAGTCATGGGCAATGACAACAGCTCACAGAAGCCAGCTGCAGGCCTCGGAAATGAGATACCTGAGAAAGGTGGTCCAAGTGACAAGAAGGGACAAAGTCCGCAATCAGACAATACGTCAAGATCTTGATACCCAGCCCTTACTAACCCGAGTGGATCAGTCACAGTTACGATGGTTTGGACATGTGTGCAGAATGGGAGAAAATCGGCCACCATGGCAAGCATGGGAGGCTAAGAACCAGGGAACCAGACCTCCGGGACGACCCAGGGTGCGCTGGGAAGACAACATCCGACAGTCCCTGACTGACAGAGGACTGGAATGGAACAAAGCCAGAAAGAAAACTGCTGATAGAGACGTCTGGCGATCTCTCTGGCAAACCTCTACACCCCAAGGTAGAAGAGGAGCGACTAAGTAAGTAAGTAAAGTAAGGCAGTTGTAAAATCTCAATGGGACAGAGGGGGGTTAGGGCTAGTTCACCATGTTTTGGTACCGTTAAAAGCGCTCACATCCTGTAATATAGAACATGGGATATTGCCAGCCAGTGACAACACTAAGCATGAAATCCCCACGACATAGCACAAGCGTTGTGATTTATGAATGGGAAGGGAAGCTACTCTCTTTTTGGGCCCAAAAACCTGAGATGTATCATATTTCTAATGTCAGACTGTTTGTGTTAGCACTTCTGATGGCTGCCTTATGCTTTTAATGCATGTGCATGCTAGTGGATATGCTGAGACTGCAGTTTGTGTCAGTTTTCCCACAAGAGACAGTGATGGACATTATGTGTGCTTTTCATTGGCACAGGAGCAGAGCAACAATGGGATGACAATTTTGCTATGAAATTGTAACTAAAGTTACCAAGATTACCTGGAATAAATGATAAGAATGCCCTGTTACCAACTTCCATCAGTCTCTACCGATGCTAATATTTTGAAGTATTGATTTGATGTTTTAAAATCAGTTTCATGTATAAAATATACAGTCTCATTGCAATCATTCTAGGAGCGGAGAACAGCTTGAAAGATAAGCACGATCAGTTAGTGTTTGACCTGCGGTCAGCTGATCTCCAGGACTCGCAGAAATATCCCAAAGGCTCAGCAGCAGTTGAGGCTGGGATCACAGTGGTTCAGAACCCAGGGGAGATCATATTTGTGCCCAGTGGGTGGCATCATGAGGTTTTCAACTTGGTCAGTTTTCTTTTGAATCTTTTGCCTGATAGTTTCAAAACTAAGGTGTCCCATTGTAAATTTAGATAATTATTCACAAGGCACAATTCATTGCCTGGCATATTTTGTTGTGTATTCTTCTTCTTCTTCTGCTTCTTCTTCTTTGTTGTCAGTTTCAGTTGCTCAGATCAGACCATAAGGTGGGTTGCCTCTGTAAAGTCGCATGTCAGCAGCAGGTTCTGCATGGTTCCCCATAGCTTGCTCTGCACACTTTGCTCTTGAGGCCATGTGTCTTTTCAAAGTAGGTATAGTGAGCAGGTCTGCAGAATGTGCTCAGGTGTTTGTGGTCCTGTTTGACAGGCACACTGTGGGGGCAGTACAATCTTTATTTTATGCATGTGGTAGTTGAGCCTGCAGTGTCTTGTTCATAGACAGAATATTGTTGAATGATGCTTTCTGTTGAGTCTGCTAAAAGGGTCTTGTGGATGTTTACTGTTAGTCTTTTATGTGTTTCATCAGGGGCATTACTAAAAAGTTAAATCAACATATAGTGAACCATAAAAATTAATCTTTTTTGGCTTAAATACATAAATTCATTGTCATGTTAGGCTATACATTTCTCCACTGGAAGTTTAACATCAGCCACATGATTACCATGGTAACTTCGAATTTATCAAGTGATCTTTGTATTTACATAAAACAGATTTCAGTTTGATTGATACAGCCTCAGCTAGTTTTAGCAAATGTCTGTTTAGTATGTGGTAAATAATTCTGAAGTGCAGTCCTCATCAACTGTATGTCTAGTCCTCATCAACTGTATGTCTAGTCCTCATCAACTGTATGTCTAGTCCTCATCAACTGTATGTCTAGTCCTCATCAACAGTATGTCCAGTCCTCATCAACTGTATGTCCAGTCCTCATCAACTGTATGTCTAGTCCTCATCAACTGTATGTCTAGTCCTCATCAACTGTATGTCCAGTCCTCATCAACTGTATGTCTAGTCCTCATCAACTGTATGTCTAGTCCTCATCAACTGTATGTCTAGTCCTCATCAACTGTATGTCTAGTCCTCATCAACTGTATGTCTAGTCCTCATCAACTTTATGTCTAGTCCTCATCAACTGTATGTCTAGTCCTCATCAACTGTATGTCTAGTCCTCATCAACTGTATGTCCAGTCCTCATCAAATGTATGTCTAGTCCTCATCAACTGTATGTCTAGTCCTCATCAACTGTATGTCTAAAGTCAAGCAAAAGATGTCCCATCCTAGAATGGCTTCTCTCTTCTTGGGTTATCCTGATACAGGATCTCCGCTTAGTTATCTGTGGAGCTATTTAGGGATATATTCTGCCACTCTGTTTATAGTAGACTGATTGACTGTTTGTTTGTTTTTGTGTGATGATTAGTTAGTTGCCTTGTTTGTGATGATTAGTTAGTTGCCTTGTTTGTGATGATTAGTTAGTTGCCTTGTTTGTGATGATTAGTTAGTTGACTTGTGTGTGATGATTAGTTAGTTGACTTGTTTGTGATGATTAGTTAGTTGCCTTGTGTGTGATGATTAGTTAGTTGACTTGTTTGTGATGATTAGTTAGTTGCCTTGTTTGTGATGATTAGTTAGTTGACTTGTTTGTGATGATTAGTTAGTTGCCTTGTTTGTGATGATTAGTTAGTTGACTTGTTTGTGATGATTAGTTAGTTGACTTGTTTGTAAAGATTAGTTAGTTGCCTTGTTTGTGATGATTAGTTAGTTGACCTGTTTGTGATGATTAGTTAGTTGACTTGTTTGTGATGATTAGTTAGTTGACTTGTTTGTGATGATTAGTTAGTTGACTTGTTTGTAAAGATTAGTTAGTTGACTTGTTTGTGATGATTAGTTAGTTGACCTGTTTGTGATGATTAGTTAGTTGACTTGTTTGTAAAGATTAGTTAGTTGACTTGTTTGTGATGATTAGTTAGTTGACTTGTGTGTGATGATTAGTTAGTTGCCTTGTGTGTGATGATTAGTTAGTTGACTTGTTTGTGATGATTAGTTAGTTGCCTTGTGTGTGATGATTAGTTAGTTGACTTGTTTGTGATGATTAGTTAGTTGACTTGTTTGTGATGATTAGTTAGTTGACTTGTTTGTGATGATTAGTTAGTTGACTTGTTTGTGATGATTAGTTAGTTGACTTGTTTGTGATGATTAGTTAGTTGCCTTGTTTGTGATGATTAGTTAGTTGACTTGTTTGTGATGATTAGTTAGTTGCCTTGTTTGTGATGATTAGTTAGTTGACTTGTTTGTGATGATTAGTTAGTTGACTTGTTTGTGATGATTAGTTAGTTGACTTGTTTGTGATGATTAGTTAGTTGACTTGTTTGTGATGATTAGTTAGTTGCCTTGTTTGTGATGATTAGTTAGTTGACTTGTTTGTGATGATTAGTTAGTTGACTTGTGTGTGATGATTAGTTAGTTGACTTGTGTGTGATGATTAGTTAGTTGACTTGTTTGTGATGATTAGTTAGTTGACTTGTTTGTGATGATTAGTTAGTTGCCTTGTTTGTGATGATTAGTTAGTTGACTTGTTTGTGATGATTAGTTAGTTGACTTGTTTGTGATGATTAGTTAGTTGCCTTGTTTGTGATGATTAGTTAGTTGACTTGTTTGTGATGATTGGTTAGTTGACTTGTGTGTGATGATTAGTTAGTTGACTTGTGTGTGATGATTAGTTAGTTGACTTGTTTGTGATGATTAGTTAGTTGACTTGTTTGTGATGATTAGTTAGTTGACTTGTTTGTGATGATTAGTTAGTTGACTTGTTTGTGATGATTAGTTAGTTGACTTGTTTGTGATGATTAGTTAGTTGACTTGTTTGTAAAGATTAGTTAGTTGACCTGTTTGTGATGATTAGTTAGTTGACTTGTTTGTGATGATTAGTTAGTTGACTTGTTTGTGATGATTAGTTGGTTGACTTGTTTGTAAAGATTAGTTAGTTGACTTGTTTGTGATGATTAGTTAGTTGACCTGTTTGTGATGATTAGTTAGTTGACTTGTTTGTAAAGATTAGTTAGTTGACTTGTTTGTGATGATTAGTTAGTTGACTTGTGTGTGATGATTAGTTAGTTGCCTTGTGTGTGATGATTAGTTAGTTGACTTGTTTGTGATGATTAGTTAGTTGCCTTGTGTGTGATGATTAGTTAGTTGACTTGTTTGTGATGATTAGTTAGTTGACTTGTTTGTGATGATTAGTTAGTTAACTTGTTTGTGATGATTAGTTAGTTGACTTGTTTGTGATGATTAGTTAGTTGACTTGTTTGTGATGATTAGTTAGTTGCCTTGTTTGTGATGATTAGTTAGTTGACTTGTTTGTGATGATTAGTTAGTTGCCTTGTTTGTGATGATTAGTTAGTTGACTTGTTTGTGATGATTAGTTAGTTGACTTGTTTGTGATGATTAGTTAGTTGACTTGTTTGTGATGATTAGTTAGTTGACTTGTTTGTGATGATTAGTTAGTTGCCTTGTTTGTGATGATTAGTTAGTTGACTTGTTTGTGATGATTAGTTAGTTGACTTGTGTGTGATGATTAGTTAGTTGACTTGTGTGTGATGATTAGTTAGTTGCCTTGTTTGTGATGATTAGTTAGTTGACTTGTTTGTGATGATTAGTTAGTTGCCTTGTTTGTGATGATTAGTTAGTTGACTTGTTTGTGATGATTAGTTAGTTGACTTGTTTGTGATGATTAGTTAGTTGACTTGTTTGTGATGATTAGTTAGTTGACTTGTTTGTGATGATTGGTTAGTTGACTTGTGTGTGATGATTAGTTAGTTGACTTGTGTGTGATGATTAGTTAGTTGACTTGTTTGTGATGATTAGTTAGTTGACTTGTTTGTGATGATTAGTTAGTTGACTTGTTTGTGATGATTAGTTAGTTGACTTGTTTGTGATGATTAGTTAGTTGACTTGTTTGTGATGATTAGTTAGTTGACTTGTTTGTAAAGATTAGTTAGTTGACTTGTTTGTGATGATTAGTTAGTTGACTTGTTTGTGATGATTAGTTAGTTGACTTGTTTGTGATGATTAGTTAGTTGACTTGTTTGTGAACCCTCAGATGGTAAAGTAAAGGAGGCTTTCCATGTGAGTGGCACTCAGGCATTCGTTGCCAGACCTATATTGTTAAAGACCGGTCACTCGAGAGGCGATGTTGTCAACCTGGTACCTATCTTAGGCTGGTCCAGCCAGGAGCAAAGTTAACTGTATGGAAAACACACACATCTTAATGTGGATTCAAACCTAAGACCTTTGGGCTGGCAGCAAGCATCCTGTCATTATGTTGCATGGCTCCTGAAAGAACTTTGGTTTATCTATGTAGAAACTTTACCCCTTGACTCTTTGTTAAATAAACTCACCACAGAAATGATTTCAGAGCTGTCTCCTTCAGGAGGTGAGGACAAGATGCTGATGGTGGATGGGACACACATTGAGAAAAATCTGTTAATAGCAAAACCAGAAATATCTGGGGAACCCAAAGAGCAGTAGAAAAAGGCTACATAAAAACACACGGAGAAGAGATTTAGAGGTGGATGACTTAGAGTGAGCCACAGGAGAGGGCAGAAATGTAGGAGGACTTAGCGGAAGTGGAATGAGAATCTTAGCTCCTTTTGGAAGTTTAAAAGCATCAGAAGCAGAAAGGAAAAAGTTCAGAGAATTAGTATGTTTTTCTCCCCGTAATTTTAACAATTATTGTTTGATATTTATAGCATTTTCATATAAATGATAACATTGCTGACTTAGTTTTTTAAATTTTTCATTCACATTAATCATAAAGGAAAGATTGATACTGACAGACACTCCTTGTAGGAAAAAATTAATTGTATAATTAATATTTATAACACACACTTTCTGAACAGGAAGATTAATTGTATAATTAATATTTATAACACACATTCTGAACAGGAAGATTAATTGTATAATTAATATTTATAACACACATTCTGAACAGCAAGAATAAGGGCATAATTGATATTTATAACACACATTCTTAAGAGGAAGATTAAATGCATAATTAATATTTTTAACACACACATTCTGAACAGGAAGATAAGTGCATAATTGATATTTATAACACACACATTCTGAACAGGAAGATTAAGTGCATAATTGATATTTATAACACACATTGTGAATATGAAGATTAAATGCATAATTGATATTTCTAACACACATTCTTAAGAGAAAGATTAAGTGCATATTTGATATTTATAACATACATTCTGAACAGGAAGATTAAGTGCATAATTGATATTTATAACATAATTGATATTTATAACACACATTCTTAAGAGGAAAATTAAGTGCATAATTAATATTTATAACACACATTCTTAAGAGGAAGATTAAGTGCATAATTAAAATTTATAACACACATTGTGAATTGGAAGATTAAGTGCATAATTAATATTTATAACACACATTGTGAATTGGATGATTAAGTGCATAATTAATATTTATAACACACATTGTGAATTGGAAGATTAAGTGCATAATTAATATTTATAACACACATTGTGAATTGGAAGATTTAAGTGCATAATTAATATTTATAACACACACATTCGGAACAGGAAGATTAAGTGCATAATTGATATTTATAACACACATTCTTAAGAGGAAGATAAAGTGCATAATTAATATTTATAACACACACATTCGGAACAGGAAGATTAAGTGCTTAATTGATATTTATAACACACACATTCTGAACAGGAAGATTAAATGCATAATTAATATTTATAACACACATTCTTAAGAGGAAGATTAAGTGCATAATTAATATTTATAACACACACATTCGGAACAGGAAGATTAAGTGCATAATTGATATTTATAACACACTTTCTTAAGAGGAAGATTAAGTGCATAATTAATTTTTATTCTGTGGTTAATCTTTATATTAATAGCTACTGAATTTTCTCACAAAAAGGAAGCACTTGTTTTCCAAAAATATGGGGTCTAAAAACAGTGTGCATCTTATAAAATGGTAGTATATTTTAAACATATGATTTGTTAGCAAATATCTCGTACAAGACCTCATTTTAGGAAAGCCGGTTCAGACGATATAAAATGGGGAATAAATTATTAAATAAAAGTTCTTTCTTGCTATAATAGTTTTTGCACCTCCACGCTCTTGTTTCTCAATTACTTTCGGTTACGTTTTACTCATAAATCTCTCAGAAATGATTTTAACGTGGTGCTGAATTCACGTTAGAAGTGATTCAGTTTGTAAAAGTAAATTAAATCATGCTGGTGAACATTAATATTGCTGTCCTCCAAGTGAGGAGACAATCCGAGACTGGCTACAGAGGGAAGAAACCCGAACTCAGTAACTTTATGTCATCTTATTTTTGTCTCACAAATTTCCAATCCCAAAATCAAGTTGCGTCTTATATTTGGGGAAAAATAATGGTTGATATTTATAGCTATCTCACATACATTCTTGATAGGAAGATTAATTACACATAGTTGTTTTCACCCACAATCTTAGCAAATTGAAATGTTAACTGCATAATTAATATTCATAGCGTTATCACATAGTTGCCCAAGAGGAAGGATAAATACTAGCTGATATTTATATCATTGTCCTACAATGGTCTTTCTACCAGGAAGACACAATCTCTATCAATCACAACTGGATGAATGGCTGCAGCGCTCACCTCAGCTGGAATTACCTGAAGAACCGGTTGTTGGCCGTTGAGAAGGAGATTGAGGACTGCAGGAGTATGGATGGGTGGCATCAGCAGTGCCAGGTAAGGGCCAGGTATGGATGGGTGGCATCAGCAGTGCCAAGTAAGGGCCAGGTATGGATGGGTGGCATCAACAGTGCCAGATATGGGCCAGGTATGGATGGGTGGCATCAGCAGTGCCAGGTAAGGGCCAGGTATGGATGGGTGGCATCAACAGTGCCAGGTAAGGGCCAGGTATGGATGGGTGGCATCAACAGTGCCAGGTAAGGGCCAGGTATGGATGGGTGGCATCAACAGTGCCAGGTATGGATGGGTGGCATCAACAGTGCCAGGTAAGGGCCAGGTATGGATGGGTGGCATCAACAGTGCCAGGTAAGGGCAAGAGTATGGATGGGTGGCATCAACAGTGCCAGGTAAGGGCCAGGTATGGATGGGTGGCATCAACAGTGCCAGGTAAGGGCCAGGTATGGATGGGTGGCATCAGCAGTGCCAGGTAAGGGCCATATCATTCTTCTGCTTGTCAACTTGAGAAAGCAGGCAGTCTTAGTTAAATGAATGTAAAAGAGGAGCAGGACACACCATGAGGCATATGTGTGATTCCCTCTAAGACTTTGATTTAAAAAAACAATACTAACCTTATCACACTACGGCGGTCACTTGGGCAAGCAGCCTTTTTAAAAACTGGCAATGTTGATGCCAGTGAGTGAAGTCAGTTGAACTGAAGACAAGTGGCACAAATAATTTTCAACCCATAAAAACGTCATCAATACAAGAACACTTGTGCTTCTTCTTAGCATCCACGACTGTAAATTCCAGCAGTAAGTTCTGGTTGTTCATCCACTTCTGGACTTTGGTCTTGTTTCAGAACTTGAGTTTAACATGCACATCCATTTTACTTATCTTGCCTAGTTGTTTGCTAATTGTTGCTTCCTCACCTGTCACAGGCTGAAACACTCCAACTTCATTAGATGCTTGTTGGGGGGGGGGGGGGGGGGGGGGGGGGGGGGGCATTTGGTATATTCTTATTTTCTAATATGGGGCCCTGGAACCGACACGAGGGATAGGGGACAGTCACAAAGGACATGTTGAATGATGTGGCTAGAAAGACTTCATCAGCAGACAAAAACAGAACAACTGCATGAGAGATACAAGCCAGAAACAGTCTGTGCCTCTCTTAGAACACAATGAGATCCACCAAGTTTGTTTCATGGTCTGAACTTTCTTCTTTCTTTTATCAAATGTGACAAGGATGATATCCGCTCCACTTATACTAGGGTAGCTCATCAGATGGCCAGTCTTCCCTGGATAAGAAGAGCGAACAAATCAGAGGACACATGTACCCGGAAAAAAAAAGTTAATGTTTTGAAATGGAAAAAAGCAAGCCAATTAAGTTAGTGTAAATTAAAAACTTATAACAACTTGTGTGGGTGGGGTGGGGTGGGGGATAAAGTTGGCGACACTTTACATTTTTTATTTTGTTTATTTTAAATTGCAGGTGTTGCTTAAAGCAGACAGTGGCCTAGATTATGTTGACTTCTACACTTTCATGGTTTGTATAGCAAGGCACAGGATGATAGTGCTGGACAAGTACATACAGGCACAGAATACAATAGATCCTCTCAATGTTTCTGCTTCTTTCACTGTCTCATCATTACCGGCAAGTGACAGGCAGAGACACAGTGGAGACAGAAACAATGATGCAGGTGAGGATGTAACTGACACCCACTCTTGTATATGTCCGGTGAAGTATGAAGGTGTTGCAGGTGAGGATGTAACTGACACCCACTCTTGTATATGTCCGGTGATGTATGAAGGTGATGCAGGCAGTTGGAAGAGTTCCGGATGTTGTCATACATGTAATAACAGCAAGCAGACACCAGAGGAAGTTTCAGCTTTGGTGGACCAATCTGCTTTAGAAGGTCAGCACTGCTTGACCACCAATAGGAAGGATCAGAGCTTTCACAACTTCAGCATTCAACCGCAAGGAGAGACATTAACTTATAGTAGCAGAAAAATTGATAGTGTAGCTTGTGGTAGCAGAGATAGTCCTGCATTGGATTCACAGCATACAGACACCAAAGGCTTGTACAAGCTTGCCTCTGACAGAGTCAGCAGCACTTCTCAGAGTCACTCAGACATCCAGACATGCTGTTACCTGTGTTTGTTTAAAGGCACCTTGGTTGATGCAGGTGAGAGGATGTGTAAAAACAATGGTAGTAGTGCCAGCCGCAGTGCAAGACTGGGGGATGATGCTTGCAACCATCAATGCTGCCCGCACTGGGCTCATACAGGACCTAACCTGGCCTTGTTTGACCTCTGCCGTGTCCTAGAGATTGTCCAGGACATGCGGGACTGTGAAGAATTCAAGATCATTATGGCGGAGGGAGACAGGCATGAGAAGATCTTGGTTCCTCCTGCACAACTGGTTGTTCAGATTGAAAGCACAATCAGACAGATGAAACAAGAAAGTCCGGTTACAGCATGACCTTATCTGTGTGGATTCTGGGGTCTCATTTTGGGGGATACAAGTATGGACCCCCTTGCCCCCACCAAGCATGTCATCAAAGGTGAATAATTAGGAATTTGCTGAAATCTGATGTGTTGAACCAAAATGTGCAGATATTGCAGCCTAGCTGTAAATCACAACACAGTGTGTCAACCACCCTTTTAATTAAGGTGAATGCAGAAGAAGATGACCTAATGTTTTTTGTTTTTTTTGGGACAAAGTTACAAGCAGAAAACAGGCTTAATCCGCACTGTGCAACCACTTCTGTCACAGTATCTGTTGTGCTTTTATTCAGTGCCTGATGGATATGAAAGTATGCTTACACTCCAGCATTTGCTGAGGGACAGAGCACATATAGGGGTGTCCTGAGTGCAGTTCTGTCAACTCTTAGTAAGAATCATTTAGCCACACTGTTGCTGTGACTGTAATCCCTTCTACTGAATTAGTGGATTCCTCAACCTGATCCTTAGAGGGATATGTACTAGGTAATCTTCCAGGATGTCAGATTTCAAGGAAAGGAAACAAGTGTTCATCAGATTTCAAGATAAGCTCAGAGCATTTATATCCAAACTGCAGAACTGGCAGAGAGAAGTGAATTTAGCAACACTGCTATCTGTGATCAGCTGTGTATGGTGATAGATGAATCTGTGGCAGAGAGAAGTGAATTTAGCAGCACTGCCATGTTTGATCAATTGTGTATGGTGTTAGATGAATCTGTGGCAGAGAGAAATGAATTTAGCAACACTGCCATGTTTGATTAACTGTGTATGGTGGTAGATGAATCTGTGGCAGAGAGAAGTGAATTTAGCAACACTGTCATCTTTGATCAACTGTGTATGGTGGTAGATGAATCTGTGGCAGAGAGAAATGAATTTAGCAACACTGTCATCTTTGATCAACTGTGCATGGTGGTAGATAAATCTGGCAGAGAAGTGAATTTAGCAACACTGTCATCTTTGATCAACTGTGAATGGTGTTAGATGAATCTGTGGCAGAGAGAAGTGAATTTAGCAACACTGCCATCTTTGATCAGCTGTGCATGGTGGTAGATGAATCTGCAGGTGAAATAAATGAGAATTTCAAAGAAGAAATTACTGGGCATCTTGATTCCCCTGAAAAGAGAATCCTGGCGTTTTTTTCCCTGAACTGACAGAGAAAGTAGCTGCACTAGTATGAAATACATTTTTTGCTTCCATGGATTTCGCCAGAATCCCCAGTAAGGTGCAAGATGAATTCTTGGATCTGCAGAATAATTTCTTGGCACTCAGATTATGAGTATTTGATGAAAATCTGCTGACTCAGTTCTGGTGTGCTATATCTCGGTCATATCCAAATGTCACCAGGTTCAGTTTTACTCCGTTTGTTTCTACATATCCCTGGCGAAGTGGTCAATCTGTTTGCCTCACGCTGTGCAGACTGTTGGTTTGTTTCACAGCCGCATTGTTCAGTTCACAAGTGCCATTTATACAGAGATTCCTGGGGATCGTCATCGAAGCTGCAGAGTTTGTGCTAGCCATTCTGTGGAGAGAGACTAAACCATATGTGGAAAAACCCGATGCAGTAAAGTTGATCCTTTCAAGTTTAACCATTAAGCTTTAACCAGATGAAAGTGTTATATTGTGCTTGGGAATCACAGCCATGGTGATGGCGAGTGTGACCAACAAGATCCGCCTACGTTAAGAAAGGTCTTTCCCAGTTAGATCCTGGCATTTCAGGACAATTGTTGCAGCAGCATGTAGTTAGCAAGCTTCTAATCAAGCGCTCAGGTCTCAACCTATGCAATTATTTTCTCCTGTATCCCTATTCCCTTCTTGATGTTTCCTCTCCTTGCAACACGGTCGATGGCATCCTACTGGTACAAATCCACCTCAGTACCTCATGTCACACATCTTTATTTTGTATTAGAGGCCTACTATGACATCTGCTACTCATGTCACCCATCGTAGAGCAAGGCTATTCAACTAGCGGCCCACGGAGGCCTAGCAAATGGCCCGCAGATCATTTCCAGTGGTATTTTATCAATGGTTTGTCTTCACTGGGGCACTGGCCTCTGGCTCTTGAAAATTCCTATTTTCAAAATGTTGGCCCCTGAGTAAACATTGTTGAATAACCCTGCCATAGAGGATTTCCTTAAGGTCTCTACCATCCTCCATCCCCCAGGTGTCTTCCAGTCATAGAGCTGAAGACTGAGCATTGAGAAATCTGTTGTGATACCTGCTCTTTCCGGCAGACATTCTTATGCACAGTCACTGTTTTGTGCATGTGTTCATAATCACAGCCAGTGTTAAAACCTGTGATTTATACAGTCATAGCCTTCCAGGCATTGCCACAACCAGCCAACAATGTATAAATACAGTTTACCTAAATGTGTACATAATTTCATGTTTATATGATAATAACATTTGTAATACAAATGTTTTGTACACAGTCAAATCAACACACCATAAAAAAATATTTTTACTACATATTTTTGTGGATACAGCATTTTTTTCTTCCCCAGTACACATTCTTGTTGATAATAATTATGATTATACTTTAATAAACATCTTCCTGGCAAATTTCACATTAGTAACCTATGAAACCTCTTAATTCTTTACCTATAAGTAAAAAAGTAAAGTAAAGATCCTTATACACGCCCTTAGGCACATTGGGCATATGGGAAGAGCACCCATATTTTTACAGACCAATCGGCACTCGGTGGGTAATGTGGTCAGCATTACGCCGGCCATCTTTACTTTCCCAGGACAGCCCATCCTGGTTCCCTGTCTTTCACTGTTCTCTATCTGTATGCTGACTTTCTTTGTTCTCTAGGTGTATGCTGTCTTTCATTGTTCTCTAGGTGTATGCTGTCTTTCATTGTTCTCTGTCTGTATGCTGTCTTTCATTGTTTTCTATCTGTATGCTGTCTTTCATTGTTCTCTGTCTGTATGCTGTCTTTTACTGTTCTCTGTCTGTATGCTGTCTTTCATTGTTCTCTGTCTGTATGCTGTCTTTTACTGTTCTCTGTCTGTGTGCTGTCTTTCATTGTTCTCTGTCTGTATGCTGTCTTTCATTGTTCTCTAGGTGTATGCTGTCTTTCATTGTTCTCTGTCTGTATGCTGTCTTTTACTGTTCTCTGTCTGTGTGCTGTCTTTCATTGTTCTCTGTCTGTATGCTGTCTTTCATTGTTCTCTAGGTTTATGCTGTCTTTCATTGTTCTCTAGGTGTATGCTTTCTTTCACTGTTCTCTGTCTGTATGCTGTCTTTCATTGTTCTCTGTCTGTATGCTGTCTTTCATTGTTCTCTGTCTGTATGCTGTCTTTTACTGTTCTCTGTTTGTGTGCTGTCTTTCATTGTTCTCTGTCTGTATGCTGCTGTCTTTTACTGTTCTCTGTCTGTGTGCTGTCTTTCATTGTTCTCTGTCTGTGTGCTGTCTTTCATTGTTCTCTGTCTGTATGCTGTCTTTCATTGTTCTCTGTCTGTATGCTGTCTTTCATTGTTCTCTGTCTGTATGCTGTCTTTTACTGTTCTCTGTCTGTGTGCTGTCTTTCATTGTTCTCTAGATGTATGCTGTCTTTCATTGTTCTCTGTCTGTATGCTGTCTTTTACTGTTCTCTGTCTGTGTGCTGTCTTTCATTGTTCTCTGTCTGTATGCTGTCTTTCACTGTTCTCTGTCTGTATGCTGTCTTTCATTGTTCTCTGTCTGTATGCTGTCTTTCATTGTTCTCTGTCTGTATGCTGTCTTTTACTGTTCTCTGTCTGTGTGCTGTCTTTCCTTGTTCTCTGTCTGTATGCTGTCTTTCATTGTTCTCTAGGTTTATGCTGTCTTTCATTGTTCTCTAGGTGTATGCTTTCTTTCACTGTTCTCTGTCTGTATGCTGTCTTTCATTGTTCTCTGTCTGTATGCTGTCTTTCATTGTTCTCTGTCTGTATGCTGTCTTTTACTGTTCTCTGTTTGTGTGCTGTCTTTCATTGTTCTCTGTCTGTATGCTGTCTTTTACTGTTCTCTGTCTGTGTGCTGTCTTTCATTGTTCTCTGTCTGTGTGCTGTCTTTCATTGTTCTCTGTCTGTATGCTGTCTTTCATTGTTCTCTGTCTGTATGCTGTCTTTCATTGTTCTCTGTCTGTATGCTGTCTTTTACTGTTCTCTGTCTGTGTGCTGTCTTTCATTGTTCTCTAGATGTATGCTGTCTTTCATTGTTCTCTGTCTGTATGCTGTCTTTTACTGTTCTCTGTCTGTGTGCTGTCTTTCATTGTTCTCTGTCTGTATGCTGTCTTTCACTGTTCTCTGTCTGTATGCTGTCTTTCATTGTTCTCTGTCTGTATGCTGTCTTTCATTGTTCTCTGTCTGTATGCTGTCTTTTACTGTTCTCTGTCTGTGTGCTGTCTTTCCTTGTTCTCTGTCTGTATGCTGTCTTTCATTGTTCTCTGTCTGTATGCTGTCTTTCACTGTTCTCTGTCTGTATGCTGTCTTTCATTGTTCTCTGTCTGTATGCTGTCTTTCCTTGTTCTCTGTCTGTATGCTGTCTTTCCTTGTTCTCTGTCTGTATGCTGTCTTTCCTTGTTCTCTGTCTGTATGCTGTCTTTCATTGTTCTCTGTCTGTGTGCTGTCTTTCATTGTTCTCTGTCTGTATGCTGTCTTTCATTGTTCTCTGTCTGTATGCTGTCTTTCATTGTTCTCTGTCTGTATGCTGTCTTTCCTTGTTCTCTGTCTGTATGCTGTCTTTCCTTGTTCTCTGTCTGTATGCTGTCTTTCCTTGTTCTCTGTCTGTATGCTGTCTTTCATTGTTCTCTGTCTGTATGCTGTCTTTCCTTGTTCTCTGTCTGTATCCTGTCTTTCCTTGTTCTCTGTCTGTATGCTGTCTTTCATTGCTCTCTGTATGTACGCTGTTTTTCATTGTTCTCTAGATGTATGCTGTCATTCATTGTTCTCGATCTGTATGCTGTCTTTCATTGTTCTTTGACTGTATGCTGTCTGTCTTTGTTTTTTGTATGTATGCTGTCTTTCATTTTTTTCTGTATGTATGCTGTCTTTCATTGTTTTCTGTAAGTATGCTGTCTTTCATTGTTTTCTGTATGTATGCTGTTCTTGATTGTTCTCTGTATGCTGTCCTTCATTGCTCTCTGTATGTATGCTGTTTTTTATTGTTCTCTAGATGTATGCTGTCATTCATTGTTCTCGATCTGTATGCTGTCTTTCATTGTTCTCTGACTGTATGCTGTCTTTCATTGTTTTCTGTCTGTATGCTGTCTTTCATTGTTCTCTGTCTGTATGCTGTCTTTCATTGTTCTCTGTCTGGTAATCTGGTAATCTGGTAATCCTAGTTTCAGCTTCATAGCAAACGGGTCACTCCACATATGCTCCGCTCCTGTGCCAACGCAAAACAAACGCAGCTCACAGTGTCACGCCATGCACTCAACTCAGAAGCTGGGCGACGAAACTACATCATTCCAGTCTACAAATGGAGCAAAAATGCAACGGTCACCGTCTGGAAAAAAAAAAATATTTGCCACGGCTTTAAAAAAAAAAAAAGGGTGGCCGTACCTAGCGTCCATTTTGACCGGAAGAATTATATGAGGGTTAATAAACGGTCACCCCAGCAGTACCCTCATTCTTAGCTGGGGAAGGGACTTAGGACATTACATCCACCAGCAGGCGTCGCCCCTACAACGACCTGCCTGCCATCGTTAACGACTGTTCACCCAACAGCCATGCAGTTCTTTGGCACGAAGGAGACACCTTGAACTTGGGTTTCGTACTGCCGACTCCCTACTAAGATGTTATTTTATGTTCTGTTATCACAATTAATGTCACTGCACATTGGGCATACCCATGCGTGCTCAGTTCTCTGAAGCAGCAGCCACTCTAAAGTACTTCTACTAATTGTCCCCATGAGAAGCTGGTTATATTGTCTCCTTTCTCGGCCTCGAAGACGGCAAAGACGTGCATCACCATGCTTAACTCCCATGTCACGCAATCGTGTTAGTGTCAGGGATTCCTCATTCTCCACTAGCCCAGTTCGTACAGCGTTGACTATGTCTGCTCTGTCCATACTTTTTCCCGCAATCATTAGTGCAGTGCTTGCCAGTTGGTCTGCTCGCTCATTTCCCTTCACGCCTGCATCACCCGGTGTGTAGATCCAGGTTACGGAGGTTAAGTGCGATTTCCTGATGCTTTCTATCCATTCAGAGCGCATACTGCCTGTTGCTATCTTTTGAAGCATATTCATTGAGTCTGAGACAATTACTACCTGTGTGGCGGTTTGCTCGGATACCCATGCTAAAGCCCTAGAAGCAGCGGCTATTTCCATTGTCATGCTTGACGTGGTTGTCTGGTAAGCGCCGCTGTCCTCATGTATTGTTTTCCCCTTTCTTTGCGCTGTGTATGCCCATGCTGACCTTGATCCGCGCTTCACGGATCCATCTGTGTAGATGATGGTATCTTCTGGGTCTGAATGCTGATCTATCAGTTCCCTTACTTCTGTGTCTACCGCCGCAGGAATTTGATCCCTGCAGTACCTTCCGAGTGTGATGACAACCTTAGAGATGCCATGCATGTCTACTGGTGTATTCGTCCATTCTTTTCCGTGGCTGATCACGTCTAGGTCACATACCTGCTGGATTAAGTCCTCAGCCTTTGCCATCCAAGAGCGGCCCCTTTTGAGACGCGTTCCTTTTGTGTCGTGAATAGCTTTGTGTAATGGGTGGTTAACATCTGCCGATACCCTCATGTAAGCCTTGACCTGTGCCACTTTGTATCTGCTTGTCATAGTCGGCAGACCCAGGATATAACGCATGGCATTGCAGGAGGTGTCTTTTGTGCAGCCGAGTATGAGTCTCATGGCCTCATTCTGTACTCGGTCCAGTCTTTCTAGCTGGGTTTTGCTGACAGTGAGGAGGCCAAGACCATAGTCAATGACGCTAAGCACAAGCCCTTGATAGAGAAGGAAAAGTAGACGTTGTTCAATATCAGCTGCTGCTAGCACCTTGAGTGCTGTCAAACCTTTCCTGGCTCTAAGTATGACTTTGTCTACGTGGCATTTGTATGACAAGCATCTGTCAAATGTCATGCCCAGGTATTTCATGGTGTCCGTTCTCTCGATGTCCACACCACAGATGCTTACGACTGGCGTTGGTGTACTCACGATGTGGGTATTCAGAGAGAACCATGTTAAGGAGGCTTTGGACGGGTTCACATGAGCTCTTGATTCCTGGCACCACTCACTAAGTCTGTCTAGTTCGTGTTGTAGTGTGGTTGTAATTTCCTGCCTGTTTTTACCTCGACGGTAAACAAGGATATCATCTGCATACGACATTGTTCTGCCTAGGCCTACGCGTTGTGCACTAGTGACTCCTGCTGTGTACACATTGAAGAGCACAGGCGACAATGGTGATCCCTGGGGCAGACCCATTAGGACGCGTTGAGGTTCGGATGCCCATTCACCACATCGAAGCGACACTGTTCTTTCAAATAGCGCTGCTGCGATCCAGTTGACCAAATTTGTTTCTATCTGCATATCCAACAGCAGTCTGATGAGCATGTTGTATGGGACGCTGTTGTACGCATCTTCTAAGTCAATAGCGGCTGCAGCCGTTTCTATTCCCTCCTGGAAACCCTCATATGTGTCGTAGGCAAATACTGCAGCATTGCACCATGTATCTCTTCCTGGTCGGTAGCCACCTAGTGTAGCGGGGAAATGGCCACCCGACTCCAATATTTGGGTTAACGTTCTGGCCACGATTTTTTCAATGAGTTTTCTAATAGTGTTCTGGAGTGTGATGATCCTGTAGCCATTTATTCTCGTGTGGTCTTTTCCTGGCTTAGGAACCGGTCTGAGGTAGCTGTGGAGCCAGTCACCAGGAATAATGCCAGTTTTTATGGTTCTCTGTTTGTATGCTGTCTTGCATTGTTCTCTGTTTGTATGCTGTCTTGCATTGTTCTCTGTTTGTATGCTGTCTTGCATTGTTCTCTGTTTGTATGCTGTCTTGCATTGTTCTCTGTTTGTATGCTGTCTTGCATTGTTCTCTGTTTGTATGCTGTCTTTCATTGTTCTCTGTCTGTATGCTGTCTGTCTTTGTTTTTTTGTATGTATGCTGTCTTTCATTGTTTTATGTATGTATGCTGTCTTTCATTGTTTTCTATATGTATGCTGTCTTTCATTGTTTTCTGTATGTATGCTGTCTTTCATTGTTTTCTGTATGTATGCTGTCTTTCATTGTTTTCTGTATGTATGCTGTCTTTCATTGTTTTCTGTATGTATGCTGTCTTTCATTGTTTTCTGTATGTATGCTGTTCTTGATTGTTCTCTGTATGCTGTCCTTCATTGTTCTCTGTATGCTGTTCTTCATTGTTCTTGGTCTGCATGCTGTCTTTCATTGTTCTCTGTATGCTGTCCTTCATTGTTCTCTGTATGCTGTCCTTCATTGTTCTTGGTCTGCATGCTGTCTTTCATTGTCTTGTGTTACCTCTCTCTGTGTGACAGCGGATGTAAAACTATGGCTGAAAGTATAGATGATGTGATTATAAATCTGCTGTAACCATGAAATTAAAAAAAATAAAACTACAAATAAAATAGATTATGATTGCAGATAATGAAAATGAGCCTTTTGTGGTGCAGTAACTTCCACACATGATCAACTTCAGACAGTCTTCGGCACATGATCCGCTTATGTCAGTCTTCCACACATGATCAACTCCTGTCAGTCTTCAACACATGATCAACTTATGACAGTCTTCCACACATGATCAACTTATGACACTCTTCCACACATGATCAACTTTTGACAGTCTTCCACAAATTATCAACTTCTGACAGTCTTCCACACATGATCAACTTGTGACACTCTTCCACACATGATCAACTTATGACAGTCTTCCATTACTACCACTGCCACACATAGTATACAACAGGAATTTGAGTTCACTTACGAAACGTTTCTGTGCTACCAGCTGAGGCCGCTTGATCAAATACTGTAGAGAAAAATTTAGTATTTAACCATATTTTACTGTCTTATTTATTATAGAATGATGTTTATTAACGTAAATATAAGTCATTTAGTTTATGAATGGGTCAAGGTTTGATTAGGAGTTGTAGAGGTAATTTGTTTAAAGGTCACAGTTTGATTAGGAGTTGTGTAAGAGTTATTTTGTCGAGGGGTCAAGGTTTGATTAGGAGTTGTAGAGTGAATTTTTGGCCATGTATTAAATTCTTTCTTGAGAACCCCCCCCCCTCCCCCCCCCCCCCCCCCCCCCCCCACAACTGACGTGGGAGTAGACCACGAGGGAGACCAAGAAGTCGGTGGAGAGATCATCCAGGCAGACCTACAACCATCTAGCGTCACCAACTGGACAGAGAACCATTCACACAGATCAATGGAGGAGTGTGAAAGCTGCAGCAATGAACATGAAGAACTCGATATGATAAAGATGAAGCAGAAAAAGATTTATCTGGGAGTAGTGAACCCGAGTCAACCCAGCTTTTTAAAAACATGTACCAGGAAATGTCCAGGGAAATAAAAGTAGCAGTGTGATACTAACCTCCATCGAGCTATGATTAACTAACACTGCGTGTATATGTTTTATAATATTTAGTAATACAAAGAGAAGATAATAAGATAGTTTTCTTCTTCTTCTTCTTCTTCGATCCTTCTGTCAGAAAACTTATATCAGGAGGCCGGTAGCCTTTATGAAAGCTATCGTGCAATCCATATCCTCTCGTGTACCATACAGTTTTGTCGTCATTGTGGTTGGAACAGGCCAGATTGCGTCTCTGTTGTCAGCATACAGTTGACAGTGTTGGAGCACATGCTCAGCATTTTCGGGTGCCACGCTGCAGGGACACGTCTCCGTATTTCCTACACCGAAAAATTTGTA